AACATCTTGACCTGACAAACTAGAAAACTTGAACTCGTCACGACAAGGAGCTCGGAGCTAGCATGGTGGGCGGCATGGCCATCTTCAACAGCAAAACATGGCTTCCCCAGCTAAACCTATCTTCCTTTCTTATACTTAAAACAACAAAGTCATAGGACTTTGAGGTTGTTTGCCTATGCAACGTAAATTCTCACCTTATCTTTAAGCCTTTGTGTAGGCCTGCTATATAATATAAGCCCTAACTCATCTTCTTGACCTGACAAACTAGAAAACTTGAACTCGTCACGACAAGGAGCTCGGAGCTAGCATGGTGGGCGGCATGGCCATCTTCAACAGCAAAACATGGCTTCCCCAGCTAAACCTATCTTCCTTTCTTATACTTAAAACAACAAAGTCATAGGACTTTGAGGTTGTTTGCCTATGCAACGTAAATTCTCACCTTATCTTTAAGCCTTTGTGTAGGCCTGCTATATAATATAAGCCCTAACTCATCTTAGGATTCCAATATTTTTGTCCGTCACGACCTAAATCCTCACATCTTCTAGGATATTTGTATGATCGTTTCACACGAATGTAAGCCCTAACAAATAGCAAAACATGGCTTCCCCAGCTAAACCTATCTTCCTTTCTTATACTTAAAACAACAAAGTCATAGGACTTTGAGGTTGTTTGCCTATGCAACGTAAATTCTCACCTATGGCATCCTCTAACTCTTCCTCCTTTGGATTTCAAAAAACAAAATATTTCAATTTTGAGTCATTCTTATTTCACACCTCTTTATTCGATTTCATTGAAAAGTCCTATCCTTTTGAACTCCTTGAAGATAATATTTCTTGATTTTTATCGAGAGTTTTTGAGTGTTTTCTTACGTAACTTCGGTCATTTAAGATGTAATAAACTATAGGGGCTTGCTCTTATAAGAAGTCTGTCCGAACCCAGCTTAATATAAACCCTATTTAATCCTTTATATTAAATAGGAGAATTTGTCGGCAAATAAAATGATCCCGAGACCAAAAGGATGTCATATATTTCTTAGTTTATTTAATCGAGTCTCATCCTCAAGTTTTGTGTTTATCCTTTGGGATAGATATAGTTTTTGAGGTATAGCGATCTTTCATTTAAACTGTGAAAAGTATGGGGTCAGTTTAATTTCATATTTTTCTAAAACTATATATATATATATATGTAAATCAAAATGTCCTTCCGAAGAGGGTGACAGGATTTCAATTCCGGTGACTGACAACTTCTTACGAGCAACTTCTCAATCAAAATAGTGCCGACAATAGTTTACAACACCTTCTTTTCCTGCACTTTCTTTGTTGTACTTTTCTTGCTTGTGAACTTACATGTTAAACAACGATGTCACCCTGCATGTCAAAACCAAAACTTTTAGCATAGCCACAAACTGAAACCAAATCTAAAATTAAACAAGATAAAATTCACCACCACAAGATTCAAAATATAAGACAACTCAAAATTTAATCACAAACAAAATAAAATAAAAAAATAGTAAATAAATTAAAACGTCTCTATCGGATGATTGGGAATCCCTTGGAGGAGGTAACCTACGGTTGCTAACGATATTTCCCATGGTCTAAATGAAAATATGGAACTCATTAAGTTGAGTTTAGTAAATTCATTTGGACTAAGTGAATCTGAAAGAAAATAGTGGTACCGGAACGAGAGAACCATAGGATCCTAACCAGTGTTGTTATAATCAACTTTAATATCCCCCATAATATTTCAAATAACCATAATCTTAGGAAACATTTGATTTGACATCAGGACTTGACACGTTAGAAAACTTAAAATCGCTACGATAAGGAGGTTGGAGTTAGCATTGTGTGGAGCACGACCATCTTCAACAGCAGAACATGTCTACACCAGTTAAACCATTCCTTAGAATTAAATAACAATCAATAGAATTTCGAGGTTGTTTGTCTAGTGCGACATAAATCCTCAACTTATCTTTAGACCTTTGTATGGTTTTGTTATACAATATAAGCCCTAACTCGTCTTAGGATTATGAGGTTGTCGTTCGTCATGACTTAAACCGTCACATCTTTCAGGCTATTTGTGTGATCGTTTCACATAAATGTAAGCTCTACTTAATAAAATTAGCAGGATAAAATAAATAGTTCTATTCTCCAAAACTGAAGCCAAAAAAGTATGATAGTCTGGAAGTCACTGAGGTTCTCCTCAGGATCCGTGACATCATCTATTTCTTCTTCCTTTGGATTCTAAAACAAAATGTTCCATATTTTAGTCATTCCCCTTTCACACCTCTTTATCTGATCTCGTTGAAATCCTATTCTTTGAAATTCTTAAAGATAATATCCCCTGATTTTTATTGAGAGTTTTCTTAGGTGACTTCGGTTAGCTAAGATGTAATTAACTATAGAGGTTTGCCCTTATAGGAAGCTTTTCCGAACCCAACTTAAATTTTTCATATTAAATAGGGGAACTTGTCGGCTTATAATAAAATGGTTTCGCAGGTCAAACGGATGTAATATATTTCTTAGTTTGTTTGATTGAGCCTCATTCTCAAGTCTTGTGTTTATCTTTTAAAATAGATAAATAGCTTGAGGTGTAGGCTCTTTCATCTAAACTTTGAAAGGTATGAGATCAGTTTGATTTCATATTTTTTTAAACTTATATGCAGACGACGAGATTTTTATTCCTGCGACCGACAACTTCCACAGGACGATCCCTCCTAAAATTGTGCCAACATCATTAATATCCACCATGACTTAAGACAAACTGTCTTATTATTAATGGTTTCAGGTATCTTTGTCAATAACCATATGTCATTTCATTCTATGATACCCATGTAGTCCAAGGGGGTAGGCCATTGTTACTAGGTCCTAATCATTAATTATATATATTGGGTACCTAATAAACTAACCTAGGCTTCTAAACTGAACTATTATAGAATGTGTGTGAACCTAGGCTTTCGCCTATGTTAGCTAATCTAAGGTTCACAATATAGAGCTATCCTAGGCGGTGGTTATAAAAATAAGAGTCTGTCAATTTGAATTATTTTAAGGGTTCACTATTTAAAAAGTGATTTATTTAATTCCTAATTTTGTTAGTTATGTTAATAAATCAAAGTTCTTCTCAAATTTTTGGGTTTAATTTTTCCAGGGTGTTGGTTAGTGTCAGAAAATCGTTGTTCTCTCATGGTTCGAATTCATTTTTTAATCTAAGTGTTCTTGGTCTCATTTTTTGAGTTTCAAGTATGTGTACTCTAAGACTTTATATGAATATTTTAAATTAAATCCTGAAAAATCCATACTCTTCTTATTTAAGATTCACTCATATTCTCACTAAAATATTTTATTTTCATGCAAAAAGATTTTAAAAAAAAAAATTGTTTTTCTCATGAATAAAAGTATGGGCGATAAGAGTTTAATTATATAAGAATTATATAGATTTTAAATGACCAAAGATTTATATACTCATAAGCCAAGGCTGCAAAATCTTATATTTTTTAGGAGAAACATATTCGTTACACAATAAAAAGATGTGTAAAACAAGAAGTGATTCAAGCTATTATTTTGTTAATAAAACAAAAATTTTAATCAAATAAAAGAGAATGAATGTGATTTAAGATAGATCTAAGGTAACCCGTGAAGTCGGGAAAAGTTGAACTTGACCAATACAAATACTTCTTCATTGTGGAGATCTCATTCCTTAGAAATTATTCTCTAATGATTATCAACTCAAAAAATCAAGTAGTCCTTCACCTGAGAGGACAAGCACAAAAAAAAAAACTCAAAATGAAATTTTCATTCCAAAGCCAAGTTCTAAATATTAAAAGAATCCCCTTTAGTTCTATATCCCTTTCTTTTTTTTCTCTATCATTTCAATTCCTTCTCAACTCTTTCATAAGAAGCTCAAGTTGGCTCATACAACAATGCCAATTAAACTTTTATATATCAGCTTATATCACCACCAACCCAATGCAAGCCCGCTTATCTCATGCAATATCATCCAACTCTTTTTATCCTTTAACACAAAAAAAGTATTTGTACTCTAAGCTTTACACTTTATAATCATTCTTCACCTTATAATCATTCATGTATATTGAGTTGCTAACAAGAGATACATTTAAATAAGTGCAAGAAATTTTTTTTTTTTACTTTATAATTCTATAAAAAAAGGGATAATAGTGACAATAATGTTAGATGTATTTGAGTAATTTATATTTTTTAAAATGGTATTTTATGTTCAATATGATAAATTAATGTAGATAAAATATAATTATCTTTAAATAATATACTTCAATGTAATCAATTCATCTTTATAGGATAAGCTTAACATTTATATCAAATCATATAACATAATAATATAATTCCATATAACCAATCAATTAGTTATAGTTTCCTTACAATGATCATAGCCAGCAAAAAAGTTGCTTCATGAATTATAGTAGCCCACCATTTTATTGTGACTAATATTAAGGACGATTTACATAAGTACCGAGTACTTTCATGACTAACAGGAAAACTTCAACTTTAACATATATGCCACTTTACGTATGCATAAATAAAAAATGTATTTTCCAGATTTAAATAGTTATTTTTTTTCCATTTCATACGAAAGATTTGGGTGGTATAAACGTGCAAAAGTAAAGTTTAGGTAATAGATATGTAAATACATAAAAATTAGTTAGTATACATGTAAATGCCCCTAATATTAAATATAAACCAGATTTAATTTCTCCCTATTACGCATTGGACACACACACACACACACACACACACACACACACACACACACACACACACACACACACATATATATATATATATATATATATAAGGATTATAGACTGTATGAATATTTTTCATGTAAGAGAATGCAAAAAATGATAACAAGACTTGAGAAAAAGCAAAGAAAAGAAAACTGTAGCAATACGAATTATAACAAGGCTAGAGAAAAAGCAAACAAAGAGAAGAAAAGAAGATAGTAGCAATATGATAATGACATAAAATTTTATATTACAGAAAGTTTATAGGACTTGAGCCATGTTATTTATAGGAGAGGAAGTTTGTGTAAAATGACTTGAGCACCATGTTGAGGCCGAAGAGTTAAAATAGTGTGAGGAGCATGGGTATAAGATGGTGACAATTCAGCTGAAAAGCGTTGCAGAATTCTCGCCAAGACCATTTTTGCTTCTATAAGTGCAAAGCTCTGGCCGATGCAGATTCGAGGACCCCAACCAAATGGAAAAAAGATGAGTTGGTTCTTTGTTGCATTTGAAACTCCTTCAGAAAATCTATCAGGGTTGAATTCTTCAGCATCCTCACCCCAAAACTCCTTGCTATGATGGAGGAGGAGGATAGGCAACACAAGTTGCACTTCTGGAGGAAAAGTAAACTCTCCCAACTTTACTTCTTTGTAAGTTTGTCGAAGAAGTGTGACTCCAGGTGGATATAATCTTAGAACCTCATAGAGAATCGTAGTCAACTGAAAAAAGAGTATCAAATCTTAGTATAGCGACCTTAGCATCAGCTATAGAAGGTCTATGGAGTGTTTTGAGGAAACTTTTTGTTTAAAAAACAGGAAGCATAAAGATATAACATTTTAAAACAAATTATATAAGATAAATATATGACATGTTATCTTGAATTTTATTTAAAAATTATATGGTTTATAATAAATATTTTCTTATTTTGAACCAATATCGTTATATCCTAATAAATTTTCTATCAAGATATTTCATAAAAATAAAAGTAAAATTTGAACAACTAGTTAGTGAATCAAAGGCTGTTTTTTCCAGCTCCATCCACAAAACTAAAGGATTTTGTCCCTTAAATAATTAAAATAAATGAAGGAATAGCAAACAGGTGAAAAGCAACAGATACTACTTACAATCTTCAACCGACTTAATCCCTCAAAAGTAGGTTTGTCATGTCCAAAAACCCGCAAAACCTCTTCTCTTGCAAGATTCTGCCAATTTGGATGCATGCTGAGCACAATCATGGTCCATGTAAGAAGAACTGATGTTGTCTCATGCCCAGCAGCATAAAATAACTTGCACTCTTCAATCATATCTTCTGTGGTCAAACTAAAATCTTGCAGGTGATCTCCTTCTTGAGCATATCTTTGGTTTGATTCCATCAACAAGCTCAACAAGTCATTAGGAACAGCATTACCATTTTTTATCAAACACTCTCTCTGTTCAATCATGATTTTAAGTAATGCAACAATCTCCTCATGATTTTGATTTCTTCGCTTGTTCTTTTGGGTGGGTAAAAATCTATAGCTCAAAATATTGGTTACTTTCTTGCAAATACATTAAAAATTTAATTGAAAATACAAATAACAAATTTTTAGTAGAATAAATTAAGAATAACATTGAAGAATTATTTTGTATTTTTTTCAATAATTGCAAAATGATTCAAGATTTAATTTATTAAATATGAATTTGCAATAGATTTTTAAATAAAACATGTTTATGAGCTTGAATCTAAAGTCGAGCAATAGATAAAACTAAGAAGTTAACAGCAAATATAAAACTATGTTTAAATTTAAAACTAAATTTAATTTAAGCATCAAATCAAATATTGAATGTCAATTTGAACTAGAATTTAAATCTACCAACAGTTGTGAATTGAATTTATGCCAATTAAGCTAGTGTAAGAATGCAAGCAAGCTTGAAAGCACAGCTTGAAACAAATTATCAACAAAAAATTTATCCATATGGTGAATAAAAAAAAATTTGTAATTTTTAAATTGGACTCGGCTACTTTATTATAACTTTATAGAAAGAAGTTTATGAAGAAAGAATATATATATATATATATATATATATATATATATATATATATAGATATATATCTATCTATATATATATATATATATATAAACATATGAAAGGACTAATCATGACCAGTGTCTCCAATAAAACATAAAAGTTCAATCTCCATCTAATTTGCTGAAATCAAAATACACAATTCATTTTTTACTAACTTTAAGCCATTTAGCTAGTTTTCTTTAAAGAACTTTTCCAAATATATGATAGGCACAATATATTTAAGCTATATCCATCTAAAGAAAATTTTATGAAATTTAATAAATGCTATATTTATTCTTTACATAAACTTCTCATATAATTAGTTATAGTATGTTCACTGAGAAATACATAAATATTTTAGCAATTTTTTTATTTAAACCATATCGTATTGCATCATTATTTATTTACATGCATGATTTTCATAAAACTTATTGCTGATTACGATAATTATCATCTACTACATATGTGAACTGAGGATATGTACAATTCAAATCAAATGATAAGAAGATAATTCATCTAGACTTGAAAGATTTCCTGCAAAAATCCCTAAGTAATTAAGTGCTAGAAAAATATGATCCTATGAAGTTATAAGCAAATTTGGATGATTACTTGAGAGTTAAAAATCTCAAAATAATAATAATATCACATTTTTTAGCAACTGATATTTAGCTTGAACTATCAACTAACTTTTTTCTCTCTTTCTACCTCCTCTGAACTTCTGCTAAATACATCATATGTATAATTTCCCAAAAATAACATAATTATGTCGCTGGAAGCTATATTATATAACATGTTGAATATTAAACAATACTTTATTCATCTATATAATATATATATGAACCCTATAACATGTTGAATATTAAACAATACTTTATTCATTGTCGAGACAAATATAGGCATCATGAATCATGAATGTCACTGTGCAAAATATAGTAGTGACACACATATTAGCAGAACAAATATCAACCAAATTTAATTTTTTTTTAATTGATGCAAATCTCAAAGTCTACAATCATTAAAAACATAAGTTATGAGTCATTACAATGAATAATCTGAAATATAAAATTTTATTTCGTAGAAATTTAATTTTCAAATGTTTATCTATAAATTTTGTTGATATATGACTTGTGATTACTAGATTATGGGAGAATGTTTATATTGATAACTTAATGTTCTTTGGATCCATGATAATTAATTATTTGTTGTTCATTGTATATTTCATCTGAACATTTTTCTTTGTGTGTTTGTTTGATAAGAGATTCAAGGAGATATTGTAATTATATATAAAGATCTCTGGCATGTAAAATGAGGGTTTAGTTATTATCAATAATTGTTTAGTTGAATGTGTTATTCCTTCCTGTCAACTCCTTGATCAAGTAGAAGATCAAAGATTAAGATATTTCCTTATTACATGGCAGGTGGCATAATTTAGATTATGACCGACGCTGATTGGCGTCGGATATGGCCGGCGGAATGGCCGTCCATAGACGCTGATTAGCGTCGGATATGGCCGGCACTAATTAGCGTCGGTCATGTTCGACCCTCTTGTATCACTACGTCACGTCTCTTGCATGTTGGACGCTATTTTTAGCGACGGCTGATTTCGAAGCTAATACGGACGCAAATTAAAATCCGACACTAATGTAGACGAAAGTAAATTAGCGACACCCATTTTAATATCAGAAAAAAAAAACGAAGCTAATCGAGCTTTTTCTTGTAGTGATGATTTACGTTAATTGTTTGTATCATTTCTCATTCATTGAAATTTTTAACATTATTTCGATTAGGAAACTGTCAAATCATTTATCAAGATTGATTCCCATCATATTTTTCATTTTATCAAAAACTAACGAATAATTGTTACAATTAAGAGTTTGTGATCTAATTTTGTGAATCTCATTGTAGATTTATGCTAAAAAGTAAAATGTCTAGAACCTAGGAATCCTATATCAGATTCTGGAAATAAGAATATCTCAAGCTTTGGAGGACACTGATGATTAATGAATTTCTATATAGGAAGTGTAATCATGCTATGTTAGCTTGACGAATATCCACAAACAATTTATTGAAGTAAAATTTCTTCAAGCTATATATGTATAATTAATATGGAATCCTTATCCCTCAAATATGTAGAAATTTTTTTTATTAAAAATGGTTGATCTTTGGATTAAGCAAAGCTCATTTATTTAGTCATTTTGAATAAAGCTTTAGTTAGGTTTTGAATTCTTTCTAGTTTCAGGATTTCAGTACTTGATCGAGCGAAAGGCTTGAAGATTTTCAAGAGGGGTTATCTTTTCATATAAACGAGATATTTGAATTGATGACTTATTTTCTTGTTACATTTTATATCACAAAAACTTATTATTTTTCTGACTGCTTTTAATTGATTTATTCAGGTCCGATACAGTCTTAACTTTTACGAGCAAATGGTTTTTAATTAGTTGTACAAATTTTTTGTCCAGAATTCTAAACATTGCTTCCAGTTGAAACAATTGCATTATCATTTGCATTGTTTTAACCAATTTTTTTATTTTTATAAATGTTTATATGATTTTGTGCATATCTATATTATAAAAATGAAGCAGCCTATGATGTACTGCATGATAATGTTAAAAAAATAAATAAATAAACTTAATAGAAACGGCATCTGTTACTAGAAAATTAAAAAAAATAATAAGTACCTAAAACCAGGGATATACAAATTCCGAGCAGCCTGCATCACAAGCTCAACTTGCTCTCCCAGAAGTTCAAAAATGCGTCTCCCCTCTTTATAGCTGCTACCAAATGCAGCACGGGAGATGACGTCTCCTGAAAGCTTCAGAAATTCTGACCAAACATTTAGCTCAAATACACCCGCATTATCAGCCAAGTCCTCCCATTGACTTATCAGCTCATCACAACAAGCAGAAAACGCTGGCATCATTATCTGTACAAAAAAATAAAAAAAAGGAAAATTTAAGGCATACCATTCAATTCCAATGTATTTACATATGTAACACCTAAACTTCAAGTTTTACATTCATTACACATCACCTAAGCATTAAAAGGTGTATTTCACTTTTTAAAAGTTAATATAGTGATATAATTGTTATGATATCAAAGATTTCGATGGTTTAAATGTAAAAAATCAAATTTTAGGTGTGATATATGTAAATAGATAGATATTAATTGGTATGTATGTAAATTCTCCCAAAAAACAATTGGTATGTAGGTAGAGGCCCTAAATTTGGATTTCTCGTCAGATGCCAAAGTTTCTTACACAAGAATGAGAGATTACCTTCAACTTTTCAGTGTGGAAGGCAGGGTTGATGATTCTCCTATGTTTGACCCATTTCTCACCTTCACAAGAGGCTACACCTAGAAATAGCTGCCTTGCAATTGGTGTTGGTTTTAGTTTCTCAAAATGACCAAATTTGGTCGATAGAATGCCCTTTACAAGCTCAGGATCCATGATGATCACCCTGGGATAAGGCCCAAACCAAAAAAATGCCGCCTTGTTCTTACCTGTATTTTTTTCACCAAATAAAAACAATGACAAGAATTGATACATTAGGCTTTGTAATTGGGGCTGATTTGTAGAGAATCTAATAAATTTGTGTAAAAAAATGCCAGAAAAAAAAGGGAAGATTTACATGCATACCACACAATTCCTATGTATTTACCTACCTAACACCTAAACTTCATTTTACTTCAATTTTTGCATACAATCACCTTACTTATGCATGATAAGGTGTATTTCAGTTTTTAAAGATGAAAAAAGTAGTATTTTTTATGTGATATGAAATATATGGTGGTATAAATGTAAAACACACTTTGGAGGTTAGATATGTAAATACAAATAAATTGAGTGGATGTATGTAATTATCCCGTTTTATATATATGTCATCTTTTTAATGCATAAATGGTTATATTTCAATTTTTTAAAGTTAAAATAGCGATATTATTTTTTGTGATGTGAAAGATTTGAGTGGTATAAATGTAAAAAGTAATGTTTGTCTGTTAGGTATGTGACTATATAAAAAATGGGTGGTATGTATGTATGTACATGACTCTATTAAGCATGGAGAATGCAGTCGCGTTGTACTTTTGCTAAAGTTGGCATAGCTACGCAGGGCGGCGTAAGTACGCCGCAACCGGATGTAGTTATGTCATTGTTTCGCTCGTTCCTAGTGCTGATGGCCAAGAGTGAAAAATATGTATGTTGAGTGTTGAAGTGGTTAAACAAAGACAGTTTCTCGATTACGAGAGTTAAATTTCTCAATTCAAAAAGAAGACTCCTATGTGCACAATGATTTCTTGACGGAGCATAGAAGTTGCAGAGTGTTTGAGGGGTGAATCTTCGGCGTGCAATTCCTCTCGTCATATCATCAAGAGATGAATTGGAGTGGTATTCTTGTAATTTTTAGAATTACTGAGAGAAGATCGAAGTGGTTAAAATATTTGTACATTTCACCTTTCATAGTTAAAATTTTAGTGAGGTGTAGCTCTATGATTTTTTCTCATTCTCAAATTTTTCCACGTAAAAGTCTGATGTTTTTTACTTTAATTACTTTGTTGTGCATATTTTTTTGATATTTTATTTTGTATTTCTCATATTTGTCTGTTCTTGTTATCCATGGTGTGAGTTTGATCCTAATTGATTGAAGCCATAACAGTTTAGATTCCAATAAATAGTATAAGAGCAGAAGGTTTCCTTTTCTTAAGAATTTTGATTTAAGTGGGAGCAATGGCCGTTGGTATAGGGTGGAGAAGTTAAATGGATTGAATTTGCATTCTGAAAAATGCAAATAGAGGATTTGTTGTATACAAAAAAATTATTTGTCACTACAAGAAATTACCAAGATTCCTGAAATAATGACACTGAAAAAATAGGAAGTGTTGAATCGAACAACCACGAGTTTGATTCATCTTTCACTTTCCTCGTCTGTAGAGTTCAACATAATAAATGAGATAATTACGGTAGATCTCATGGCGACAGAGACAAAGATATGTGAAGTTTTTTCTGATGAAGAAGTTATACAATATGAAGATGACGAAAACTGTTTGATGGTTGAACGCTTGAACAATTTTAATATTGTGACTAGTTAGTTGTGCTCTGTGAGTATCAAATTCGAGGAAGAGGTCAGGGCACTATTAATTTTGACTTTTTTTGGACAACTGGGATAGATTTGCCACGACCGTGAGTGAATCATCAAGCAAAATGAAGTTAAACTTTGATGATATCGTGATGAATGAAGAAGTTGCAGAAACACAACATATGGTGAATCTTGATGTTCTGTGTTGAATGTTGAAATAATGGGAAAGAATCATGGCAGAAATATAGGCAGAGATAAATTCAACTCCAAAAGAGGAAAATCTAGTTTAGGCAAAAGAAATGGTAGAGAAGAATACCGAAAATGTGAGAATAATGATCATTTAAAAAATGACTATAAAGCTCCAAGAAAGGCTGATGGTGGAGGCCAAGACAAGACTATCTTTAAAATTATCTCTATAAGCAAAATCTAAGGTGACTCCTTAGTTTTATCCTTATCAGTTTGCCTGATGGAAAAGTATAAAGCTTAATAAAGCAAATCATGTTCCAACTATGAAGAGAAATCTAATCTAGGTAACGAGCACATGACTACTTTCATGAGTGATTCGTGGAAGTTGTGGTTGCTTATCAGTGTTGAAAATATCAATGTTGAATGTTGAAAATATAGGAAATCTAATTAGCGGCTTTTACTGAATCAATGAGATAGAAGAATTGATTGATGTAGTTGAAATCAAAGTTGATGCAAGTCTTTGCCACCGCGGGCTTGATAATATGAGCAAGAAGCGTGTGAAGTTCCAACATGCAAAGAGTTTAAAATCTGTGAATTTAAAGTTTTATGAAAATTATGTATATGTAAAGTAGAAGAAAGTTTCTTTCTACAAGGTGAGTAAATGGTGAATGCAATGAAGCTAGAGTTAGTGCATAGTGACATATATGTCATACTCTAGTTTAGTACAGTGGAGGTTCCCACTAATTCATTTTCATTAACAATCACATAAGAAAGACGTGGGTTACTTCTTAAAAAAAAGGCTTATTCGAAGTGTTTAAGAAGTGGAAGATCATAGTTAAAAAGAAGACAAGCTCGAGGCTGAAGCATCTCAAATCAGATATTTGAGGTGAGTATCGTCATCAGCGGCTAATGAATTTCTACATTGCAGAAAGGACTAGACATGATTTCACTAACTAAAGGAGACCACAATATAACACTGTGCTTGAACACATGCATAGATTACGCACCATGCTAGGAATATGAGATTGCATGTAAGCTTGCCAAGGAAATTCTAGGTAGAAGTTGTGAACAAAGCAAATTATCAGATAAATCGTGGTCCATTAATACTTTTTAGGGAAGGATATCTAAAGAAGCCTGGAGTGATAAAAAGCTAAATCTATATCACTTAAAGTTATTTGGTTTTTCTGCATTTGTACATATTTATGCAGGGTCTAAGAGTATACTTTATTCAAAGTCTGTTAAGTGCAGTTGTTTGGGGTATATCTTAGATCAATTTGGGTACAAATTCTAGAACTATCAGAAACAGAAGTTCATCAAGAGTAAGAATGTTACTTTCTATAAAAGAAATATGTACAAGGATAAAAGCAGAACTCAGGATTGTCTGTCAGTTATTTCTGAATATTTCAAATATGTTAAATTAGAAGATACAAGTGATCAAGAGGAGAACATAGAAAGAGTGCTCAATCAGATAAAGAACGGAAAGTTCCTTAGTCGCCTTCTACTGAAATTACTAGGTCCAGCAAAATCTCAAGACCGACACAAATTATTGTCGAAAACTCTATTCATTGTAGAAAAAAAAAATTTATAAATTACATATATATTTTTCTATTTATTAAGAAGTTTCTCATAGGTTACGAATAATCAATCATTCAAAAGATATTTGATGTGTTATCATTAAAAATTTTAATCACTAATGATGAATCCCGAAGCAATATTAATAAGAAGTATTCTGAGCTCAAATTCACAATCATCCATACTCCAATTTCAATAATTTTATTGTCAAATTGAGCGTATTGACAGGACAAATCAAATGATGTTAAGAGTCATGTAATTTGAATTTACATAAACCCAGATCAAATACTTAAAGTATTGTCAAAAATTTTGGTGCATCAATTGAAATATTAAACAATCTCAAAATTTGACATGTTTATATTAAATCGACCATCTAGAAGAGAGGAATCCAATAAGTTCAAGATCATTCAATTTTGATGCCATAAAGACCGTTAAATATTAAAAAAAATATATGACCAAAGGAATCGATGTGGACTGTTCGTTAGAGTGTTTTGGAAGATTGGTCAAATTTATTAAAATTGCATTCTAAACAATTATAAATTGGTCATCATTATTCACTTGAAGAAATAAAAAGCAGAGAAGAGTGAGCTTACTACTAAAGTTTAACGCTTAAAGTCTCGACAACTGATCCCCCGAAAATGCAGCCAATAATCAGTGCTCATTGTCGACTGCCAAAGATCGTCATCGACAACCAAAGTTCATCATTAATCACCGCGCATTATCGATCACTGCCAATTATGGCTTTAATAGTCAACTACAACTTGTATAGTCACCTTGTTAAATTTTAGAATAATGTGGAATAAAGCGGAATACTTCGGAATGCTTTCATTGATATAAACGGGGGTATAAATAACCCTTACAAGATTTTTATAATAGGAAAAATAATAAGAGGAAATGATATGAAAGGAAAGATATATCACATGATATCTCCAATAATTAATTCATATTAATTATTAGGAGATAATAGGAAATAATATAAATTAGGAAAACAAATAATTCCTAACATATGAAAAGAACTCCTTATATTAAGGAAATCTCCTTATATTAAGGAAAGAATTTATTTCGCATAACTTTTTCTATAAATAATTATTTTGTATCATAAATCTTAACAGGAAAGACAATAAATCTTGTAATTTAAATTAGATATTTCAACACTCCCCCTCAAATTGAACATGGTTGAAAACCATATTCAATTTGAATTTGAAAACATTGGCTGTGGTATACTGACTAGACAGGTAGCATCAATTTGCCAACAAGAAATTCCAACAATCCTCAAATCGTAAGTGTCGAATCCGAAGGTCCCGAAGCCGAGAATGTCGAAGCCTAAGAATGCTGAAGTCTGAGGGCGCCGAAGCCTGAGAGCTCCGAAGCCGAGAATGTCGAAGCTTGAGAGTAGCTTGGACGAGGGCCAAGCTCAATTTTGAGACATTGATGAATTTGTAAGTCACCAGTTGACTGATAATTGCATAGAAGCAACAAGAAGGTTGCAATAATGCTGCATGAGAGATGCTAGAAAACTGCAGGAAGAATGCAGGAAGGTTGCAGGAAGGTTGCAGGAAGGCTGCAGAGGGTCAACGACAGTGTTCAAGAAAGTTGTAGTGCTCGAAGAAGGCTGCAATAATGTTGCAGGAAAGAGCAGTGCTTTCCTTGGGAAGAGTCGGCCAAAATCTACAGGGAAAAATTTGTTGAGGTAGATCTGACGGCAAGAAAAGCTGCATGAGGGAGGTCCGATGGTGGGAAAGGCTGCAAGGGAGAGAACCGGTTGCAGGAGTAAGCCCGAAGGTCCAGTCGATAGCAGATATGTCTGCAAGAAGTTTTGGCGGCAGGAAAGGCCGCAGGAGGGAATTTCACCGGTAGAAAGGACTATAGGAGGGAGTTCCAGTGGCAGGAAAAGCCATCAAGGGGTAGGGCCCGCCGGGGGGGGATGAGGTGGATGCTTCGACAGTCCTAGAAGGAAATCGGGAGGTCCGACGGCTCGGAGATCCCGCAGGAAGCATCTGCGACTGAAAAAAAAAAGTACAAGGAAAACGACCATGGGAGAGCCCGCAAGGAAGCCAGTGCTCTGTGCGGTTCTGCGGGTGATAACGGTTTTCACCAAAGAGTGAAAACTGGGATTTCAACTAGAGATCTTCTGTGATTTGCACTGTAGAAAAAATAAATCCCATTGGCGAACCAAAATTTCTATTAGTAAGAGAATAATGTCTGTTGTTTACTGAAAATGCAAGCCTGCAGTTACACAAATGTCTGCGCAAGGAAAACCACTGAAATCGCAATGGTGTAGTGAACCAGGCACCTACGCAGGGAAAAAAATTGAGGCGCAACAAAGGCTGCAGAAATTGACTTTGATGACTAGCGGCATCTGCATAGGGAAAAAAAAACGAGACGCAACAGAAGCTACAGGAATTGTCGGTCACAGAGAAGAATGTAGAGAGGTCTCTTGTTTTGATGGAAGCTTGGAGAAGGTCCGGTTGGAAATGCAGCTCCCCTTGACGCTTGGGTAGGGAAGAAAAAATACTGCAGGAGAAATGGACGGCTTGTCTGATCAACGACAGTGATACCTCCAGTGAGATGATGATGAGGTGGGTGCCGGCATCGCTGATGCCGGCATATGAGGATACAAAGAAGGGAGTGCGACAATTCTCAAAGGAGGGTCGGTGGTTAGAGTACGAAATTAGTCTCTGATACTATGTTAAATTTTAGAATAAAGTGGAATACTTCGGAACGCTTTCATTGATATGAACGGGGGATAAATAACCCTTACAAAAATCCTATAATAAGAAAAATAATAAAGAAAAATAAAGAAGAAAAATAATAAAGAAAAAATGATATGAAAGGAAAGATATATCACATGATATCTCCAATAATTAATTCATATTAATTATTAGGAGATGATAGGAAATAATATAAATTAGGAAAACAAACAATTCTTAATATATGAAAAGAAAATATCTCTTTATATTAAGGAAAGAATTTATTCCTCATAACTTTTCTAGAAATAAATTATTTCCTATTATAAGTCTTAACAGAAAAGACAATAAATCTTGTAATTTAAATTAGATATTTCAACACACCTACATCTTTTATAGTCAATTGTGGCTTCTATAGCCAACTACGACTATTATGACCCTAACATGCTATTATAGTTAGACTATAACAGTTATAGTTTCAATTACTCTTAACAATTATAGTCCTTCAATTATTTCAAAGTGGTTACAATTTTAATATCATCTTAAAATCTCGTATTCCTTAATCCAAATGAAGGGTGGACTTATGTACTTTTGATTACATGGTAGATTATTTTAAGAGGTTTAGAAATTGTGATTTTTTCTCTTTTCAAGCCTTTTCTAGATAAAAAATTTTGATGTATCATCTCATGGCTTTTCTTTTATTTGTGAGTGAGTGAAATCTTTATTATCACTTTACCACCGTAAATTTTCTAGCCAACAATACTAACACTACATCATAAGTCAACAAATCATGTCAGCTTCCCCAAACCAAAGCCCAACGAAACCATACAAACCTCTAAGCCGAGGAGCCAAAATTAAAGGCCGAATAACAGAGCATATTCACCCAAACAAACAGAAAAAAAAAAAAGATTTACCTCCATAAGTATCCACAATGCGCGTTGAATAGGGATCGACGCGATCAACAATGCGGTGTGAAAGCGGCAGAGGCTTCCGGCGAGCCTCACCCACGAGATTCCCAATATTCTTGATATCACCGAAGGGTAAACGATACCGGCTTCCTCGAAGCCCCTGCGCCCTCAGCTTGCGTTCTAAACGCCGCGGCTGGAGCCATAACCACTCCGCCAATGACCATCCGACCCAACTCGCCGCCGCAACTATCACCGCTGTGGCCGCCAACACCAACCAATGCCCGAACTCCATTTTCATGCTTACCGGCATATGATACACTTCCTTTTTGCAAATATACTGGCGGAGGTCCTCTTTTTATCTCCAGGTTCACTTGCTGACTTTTTAGTGATTTCATGACACGTTGACTGGAAAAATTATTACCTCCCGACTCCCAGTCCAATGAATCACCTTAACAACGTGGAGCTTATAGAAAAAAACTCGTTCTTTTGTGATTGGACTATTCCTCTCGTATTATTTCACATTATTCAGTTATTATTATGATGATATTTATGTGTTATTGTATTATTATAAAATTATGAATATTCTCAGAACATAATAATACATGAATATCACCACAATAACACATGAATAACGCGGAGTAACACTCTGGGGAATATTCTATTGTGCTAAAATAAATTCTTTTTATTTTTCTGTCACCTGACTCACCTCCATGTGGCGTGATTTCATTGGACTCCAGACGTATTATTTATTCCGTTGGCAGGCTGGCAGGCGGCCTGGATAATCAAAGATGATAAATGAGACGAGAATATTCAAACTTCATGCAGGAAATAAAACAAGGATAAACATTGAGGTGTAAGATAAATTATGGGGATTGTGTTTAAAACTATTTTAAGATATAACTTTTTTATTTTTTTTTTTGCAAGAATTTATCAAAATTTGAAGTCATGAGTATGACCTTTTAATTTAAAATTAATTAGTAGGTTATGGTAGGTTGAACCGGTTAATTGGTTTATTTTATAATATTGTTTTGCAAGAAATTTTTAAAATTTGAAGTTTAGCTGGATGAAAAAGAAATGTGATATAATCTTTAAATTTATCTGAAACTCAATCTTAATTCATTTTTGAGTTATCGACCACCCCACCGTTTTTTATTATTATTATTATTTTTTTTTTTATAAAGAGAAGTTATCTTTATTTAGAAGTGAGTTGATATGATGATTTCTTTTCTTCTATTGCATGTTTTGTCAACAAAACTTATTATTAGTTTAAGTGTGCAATTGAATTATTTCAAACATGGCTATCAAATCTTTTCACAATTGAATCATTTTTAATTACATCTTTAATATTTTTTGTACCATATTTTAAATACTAATTATAGAAAAAAAAATTATTTACAATTTCCATTAATTTTTATCATCTTTTTTTTCCATAATAAATAATTAATAATTATTAAGATTAAGGGTTTGTAGTATGTGGTTTTTGTGTTTATATATTTTGTACAAACACATATTAAAAAAACCATAGACCCAAGAACATCATGCATCATTCGGTTAAGATAATATTGTTTCTTTCAAAAACTAGAAAAAGAAATATAACTAAAACAAGGGATATATTAATTATATGAGTATGAAAATAACTTCTTATATTTCATCTTTTCTTGCTTTTCATATTATTATTCAACCGCCAAATATTTTTATTTATAAAAACTTTTTCTTTTGATTCTCCAAGCACATCTTTTGCTAATATTTTTTGTTACTTTATCCCACATAACATTTGCTTCTTCAACAACATCCCAAATTTTGAAATATTTAATTTTACTCATAAAAATAATTTTATTTGTGTCGTTTATATTCCCCCATCTAAATCTAGGATGATGAGTCCTAGTATTTATATTTTACAACTCTTCAACTTAAAATCTAAAACTAATAAACGATGTTGGGTACTTAAATTCTCACTAGGAATGACCTTACAATCTTTACAATCTCGACGATTTCTTCTTCTCATAAGAAAATAATCAATTTGTGTTTTATTAGATCCACTCTTATAAGTAATAAGATACTCATCTCTTTTCTAGAATAAAGTATTAGTAATAACAAAATCATACGCTAAAGCAAAATAGCTATACCTTCTTCATTAGTTACTCCAAAACCGTAGCCAACTTGAGTATTTTTGAAGTCTTCTACCACTCTACCGACATGTCCATTTAAACATCCTCCAATAAATTTTTTTTCTTCAAGAGGTATCATTTGTATTAAGTCTTCTAAGTCATTCCAAAATTTATTATCATTTGTACTTCCAAAATTTATCTTTAGACAAATTTATCTTTAGACCCTTTATCTAAACCTACTTGAGGAGCATAAGGGCTTATAATATTAAAAATTTTAGTATCAATAATAATCTTAAGGGCTATAAAGTTATCTCCAACTCTATTAATTTTTAAATTTCACAAGTATTTGGGGTCAACTGCTTATCTATAATTGCACCTACACCATTTATAGTGTGACACTTACCTGAATATCAAAGTTTAAAACCTAAATTATCAATCTCCTTAGCATTTTCTCCAACCATTTAATTTCTTGAATACATAAGATATTAATTTTCCTATGAATCATAATATCAATTAATTTCATTAACTTGTCATTGAGAGTGCCTATATTCCAAGATCCTATTCTAATATTAGTTTCATTAATTTCATAGACTAACTTCTTTACCCGCATTCATCAGTAATGTTAGAACCCTTGCTTATTTGACACTACACCCGAGCGTCGGTGTAGCAGCCCTTGCACACTTTTCACTGTATTTAGGTTATACCGCGCATCGCTTCCAGGAAACGCCATAGCACTTACACAATGATCAAAATGATTCATTTCATGATTTTTTTTGACAAGTTTTACCCTAGTTGTCGACTACCTAACACAACCCTCCACTTTTCACATTTGAGCTTGAGACCGGCAAAGGCAATGTTAACTTTATTTCAAATCAAATAAAAATAATAATAAATAATCGCATGTATTTATTTTATACTCTATTAAATTATTCTAAAATATTTAAAATACATTAATGTATACACAAATATAAATATGAAACTTTTTGCTTTATTCGAGCCCACTTGCCGAATCAACTAAATCGAGCTCATTTATAGAACTGGTTGAGTCAAACCCACCTGTCAAAGAGGCTTAATCGAGCCCACATGCCGAAGTGGTGTCGAATCCACCTGTTGAAGTGGTTGAACCGAGTCCACCTGCCGAAATGACTAAACTGAGTCCACCTACCGAAGTGGCTAGACCATATCCACCCGTTGAAGTGGTTGAATTGAGTCCACATGCCAAAGTGATTGTCCACCTGCCAATCTAATTATACTCTTCATTCTCAAAAGAGCAACCCGACCCGCCTGTGCGAGAGAAAGCTATTGAATTAGACCATGATGACTAGTAAAAACACTTATCAATCTATTATTAAAGACGCGTCCAACACTTAAGCCTTGATCTTTTCACTCAGATACCAATGACGGGTATCGTACCAACAACACGTCACACCTGCATCACTACCTTTTCATCAAGACACCAGAGAAAGATAACATACAATACAAGATCACTATTTTGATTATTTTATTGTTTCTCCTTCTCATGTATAAATGGAGAAGGAAAATGAGAGGAGGAGGTTTCCTTATGATCCTTATCTCTTCCTTTCTTTCTCTTTCTCTCTCACTCTCAAATCTTATAACTCAAGAAACCCCTAAGGATTCACAATTCTCTCACTTATCGAAGATAATAATTTAATGCATTCCAAAGGTTCCCTCTCAAGGCTATCATCCATCTCTATCTCTCTCTCTCTCTCTCTCTCTCTCTCTCTTTCTTTCTCTATGATATAGAGTCTTTTATTAGTTTATATGCACTCAAGAACAATAAGAGAGCCGACATATTAAAAGGATTCAATATTTTGAAAGGTGCAGTAAGCATGGAGTTTATTCACAAACTCTGCAAAAAGTTCCTTCCCATATGAAGACCACCCTTAAAGAATGATGGATTGTACCAATGAATACATGGCTCAATAAATTAATGAGTTAAGAGAACTGATGAGGAAGGAAATGCAAGATATGAGGGAAGCTTCCTGAATCCATTTTTAGTATAGAACAAACATATACTAGATCGTCGAGATAAGTGGCACATGGCAAAGATCAGCTGGGGATAGAGGGCACCCCACGACAAGAGTTACGAAAATAAGAGGTACCAAGATAAGAACAACTAAGGTGAGAGCCACATGCCCAAGACTTACGAAGAATCAAAGTAAGTAGATCTCTTAATCTTATCTATAGGTGAGAAATATTACACATGAACAACCTCAATTTTTCAGAAGAAAGACCTATAGTAAACTCAATTGGAAAAGAAAGAAGAAGAAAGAAAAAAGTTTTCTCTTAACTACTTTGAAGAAAATGCAAGGAGAAAAAGGAGGAGAAATAAACTAGTAGAGAACCCATTCTTAAGAGAGATTTCAAAAGCTGAGGCAGCAAGGAAATTTAAGATTCTATTTTTAGAATCTTATAGAGGAAAACTTGATCCCATCAACTACCTAGCTTCCTTTAAATCAGTTTCCTATTTAGTTTAGATAAATGATGCATACAAATGTTGTTTATTTTTCATGACATTGAAATAATCATCTCTACACTAGTTTCAACAACCCACCCGTAAGAGCTATGCCTTCTTTAATGTATTTAGACAGAATTTTGTTGCACGGTTTGTCCATGCACAAAAGCCTCTAAATATCTTGCAAGAACTCGTAAAAATGTACCAGTAGCCAGTCGAGAGGTTAAAGAGCTTCATCACTCATTTTCAACAAGAAATATTTGACACCTAAGGCCTAAAGCCTATTATCGCCCACATAGCTCTGGCATGGGTCCTATGTGAAGGACCATTTTGATACACACTTTGCTTGTAGAAGTTGAAGATGCTGGAAAAGCTACCAGAGCTAGTGAACAGTCAAATCTTCATAGAAGAGTAAAATTCTTACATTGGACCTTTTAGACATACAAAATCCAGAGAGAAATATCAGATCCAATCTTGTGACATCCATCGAGATCTAAGGAGTCATTTTAAGAGAGGATTTTCTTTAAAAACTTCAGTATCGATCTCACGAGGAATGTTGTAACTCTTAAAATTAACTTACATAAATTCTATTTAAATTACAAATTGAAAAGTTAAGAGATTTAAAATGATATGATTACCAAAAATTACTACTAAAAGTGCTAAAAAGAAACTAACAACTAAATGCAAAAGCTTAGCAAAATATAACAATAGTTTGGATATTATGAAAAACATTTTCCTATGCAAAGAGATTTTAATCCATGTAGGATTCAAATG